GGACAGGGCAGGGCAGGACGGGGCAGGACAGGGCAGGGCAGGACAGGACAGGGCAGGGCAGGGCATGGCAGGACGGGGCAGGACAGGGCAGGGCAGGACGGGGCAGGCCAGGGCAGGGCAGGGCAGGGCAGGGCAGGACAGGGCAGGACAGGGCAGGACAGGGCAGGGCAGGACAGGGCAGGGCAGGACAGGACAGGGCAGGGCATGGCAGGACGGGGCAGGACAGGGCAGGGCAGGACGGGGCAGGACAGGGCAGGGCAGGACGGGGCAGGACAGGGCAGGGCAGGACGGGGCAGGACAGGGCAGGGCAGGACAGGACAGGGCAGGGCAGGGCATGGCAGGACGGGGCAGGGCAGGGCAGGGCAGGACAGGGCAGGGCATGGCAGGACGGGGCAGGACAGGGCAGGGCAGGACGGGGCAGGACAGGGCAGGGCAGGACGGGGCAGGACAGGGCAGGGCAGGACAGGACAGGGCAGGGCAGCGCATGGCAGGACGGGGCAGGACAGGGCAGGGCAGGACGGGGCAGGACAGGGCAGGGCAGGACGGGGCAGGGCAGGGCAGGGCAGGGCAGGGCAGGGCAGGGCAGGGCAGGACAGGGCAGGGCAGGGCAGGGCAGGGCAGGGCAGGGCAGGGCAGGGCAGGACAGGGCAGGACAGGGCAGGGCAGGACAGGGCAGGGCAGGACAGGACAGGGCAGGGCATGGCAGGACGGGGCAGGACAGGGCAGGGCAGGACGGGGCAGGACAGGGCAGGAGAGGGCAGGGCAGGACAGGGCAGGGCAGGGCATGGCAGGACGGGGCAGGGCAGGGCAGGGCAGGACGGGGCAGGACAGGGCAGGGCAGGACGGGGCAGGACAGGGCAGGGCAGGACAGGACAGGGCAGGGCAGGGCATGGCAGGACGGGGCAGGACAGGGCAGGGCAGGACGGGGCAGGCCAGGGCAGGGCAGGGCAGGGCAGGGCAGGACAGGGCAGGACAGGGCAGGACAGGGCAGGGCAGGACAGGGCAGGGCAGGACAGGACAGGGCAGGGCATGGCAGGACGGGGCAGGACAGGGCAGGGCAGGACGGGGCAGGACAGGGCAGGGCAGGACGGGGCAGGACAGGGCAGGGCAGGACAGGACAGGGCAGGGCAGGGCATGGCAGGACGGGGCAGGGCAGGGCAGGGCAGGACAGGGCAGGGCATGGCAGGACGGGGCAGGACAGGGCAGGGCAGGACGGGGCAGGACAGGGCAGGGCAGGACGGGGCAGGACAGGGCAGGGCAGGACAGGACAGGGCAGGGCAGCGCATGGCAGGACGGGGCAGGACAGGGCATGGCAGGACGGGGCAGGACAGGGCAGGGCAGGACGGGGCAGGACAGGGCAGGGCAGGACGGGGCAGGGCAGGGCAGGGCAGGGCAGGGCAGGGCAGGGCAGGGCAGGGCAGGGCAGGGCAGGGCAGGGCAGGGCAGGACAGGGCAGGACAGGGCAGGGCAGGACAGGGCAGGGCAGGACAGGACAGGGCAGGGCATGGCAGGACGGGGCAGGACAGGGCAGGGCAGGACGGGGCAGGACAGGGCAGGGCAGGACAGGACAGGGCAGGGCAGGGCATGGCAGGACGGGGCAGGGCAGGGCAGGGCAGGACAGGGCAGGACAGGCAGGGCAGGACAGGGCAGGGCATGGCAGGACGGGGCAGGACAGGGCAGGGCAGGACGGGGCAGGACAGGGCAGGGCAGAGGGCAGGGCATGGCAGGACGGGGCAGGACAGGGCAGGGCAGGACGGGGCAGGGCAGGGCAGGGCAGGGCAGGGCAGGGCAGGACAGGGCAGGACAGGGCAGGGCAGGACAGGGCAGGACAGGGCAGGGCAGGACAGGGCAGGGCAGGGCATGGCAGGACGGGGCAGGACAGGGCAGGGCAGGACGGGGCAGGACAGGGCAGGGCAGGACGGGGCAGGACAGGGCAGGGCAGGACAGGACAGGGCAGGGCAGGGCATGGCAGGACGGGGCAGGACAGGGCAGGGCAGGACGGGGCAGGGCAGGGCAGGGCAGGACAGGGCAGGGCATGGCAGGACGGGGCAGGACAGGGCAGGGCAGGACGGGGCAGGACAGGGCAGGGCAGGACGGGGCAGGGCAGGGCATGGCAGGACGGGGCAGGACAGGGCAGGGCTGGACGGGGCAGGGCAGGGCAGGGCAGGGCAGGGCAGGGCAGGGCAGGGCAGGACAGGGCAGGACAGGGCAGGGCAGGACAGGGCAGGACAGGGCAGGGCAGGACAGGGCAGGGCAGGGCATGGCAGGGCGGGGCAGGACAGGGCAGGGCAGGACGGGGCAGGACAGGGCAGGGCAGGACGGGGCAGAACAGGGCAGGGCAGGACGGGGCAGGGCAGGGCAGGGCAGGGCAGGGCAGGGCAGGGCAGGGCAGGGCAGGGCAGGGCAGGGCAGGGCAGGACAGGGCAGGACAGGGCAGGGCAGGACAGGGCAGGGCAGGACAGGACAGGGCAGGGCATGGCAGGACGGGGCAGGACAGGGCAGGGCAGGACGGGGCAGGACAGGGCAGGGCAGGACAGGACAGGGCAGGGCAGGGCATGGCAGGACGGGGCAGGGCAGGGCAGGGCAGGACAGGGCAGGACAGGGCAGGGCAGGACAGGGCAGGGCATGGCAGGACGGGGCAGGACAGGGCAGGGCAGGACGGGGCAGGACAGGGCAGGGCAGGACGGGGCAGGGCAGGGCATGGCAGGACGGGGCAGGACAGGGCAGGGCAGGACGGGGCAGGGCAGGGCAGGGCAGGGCAGGGCAGGGCAGGGCAGGACAGGGCAGGACAGGGCAGGGCAGGACAGGGCAGGACAGGGCAGGGCAGGACAGGGCAGGGCAGGGCATGGCAGGACGGGGCAGGACAGGGCAGGGCAGGACGGGGCAGGACAGGGCAGGGCAGGACGGGGCAGGACAGGGCAGGGCAGGACAGGACAGGGCAGGGCAGGGCATGGCAGGACGGGGCAGGACAGGGCAGGGCAGGACGGGGCAGGGCAGGGCAGGGCAGGACAGGGCAGGGCATGGCAGGACGGGGCAGGACAGGGCAGGGCAGGACGGGGCAGGACAGGGCAGGGCAGGACGGGGCAGGGCAGGGCATGGCAGGACGGGGCAGGACAGGGCAGGGCTGGACGGGGCAGGGCAGGGCAGGGCAGGGCAGGGCAGGGCAGGGCAGGGCAGGACAGGGCAGGACAGGGCAGGGCAGGACAGGGCAGGACAGGGCAGGGCAGGACAGGGCAGGGCAGGGCATGGCAGGGCGGGGCAGGACAGGGCAGGGCAGGACGGGGCAGGACAGGGCAGGGCAGGACGGGGCAGAACAGGGCAGGGCAGGGCAGGGCAGGGCAGGGCAGGGCAGGGCATGGCAGGACAGGGCAGGACAGGGCAGGGCAGGACGGGGCAGGGCAGGGCAGGGCAGGGCAGGGCAGGGCAGGGCAGGGCAGGGCAGGGCAGGGCATGGCATGGATGGGGGGGGGGGGGGGGGTGGGGGTTTGGGTTGTCGCGAGGAGGGGAGGATGGGTGCGGGCTGTGTGGGTGTTAGTAGGGTTGCAATTTTGAGGGCGAGATGGGGGGGGGAGGGGGGCGGAGGGCGGGGGGGGTGGTCTGTGAGATAATGGGATCCCCGGGACTGCAGAGACGTGGTCCAGTCCCTGGGTTGGGAACGGAGACATGAGTATGTCTCCCTGCCGTAGCGGATCTCCCTGCATTGGCGCGTCTCCCTGCCTTAGCGCGTATCCCTGCCTTAGCGCGTCTCCCTGCCTTAGCGCGTCTCCCTGCCTTAGCGCGTATACCTGCCTTAGCGCGTCTCCCTGCCTTAGCGCGTATCCCTGCCTTAGCGCGTCTCCCTGCCTTAGCGCGTCTCCCTGCCTTAGCGCGTATACCTGCCTTAGCGCGTCTCCCTGCCTTAGCGCGTATCCCTGCCTTAGCGCGTCTCCCTGCCTTAGCGCGTCTCCCTGCCTTAGCGCGTCTCCCTGCCTGGGCGCGTCTCCCTGCCTTAGCGCGTCTCCCTGCCTTAGCGCGTCTCCCTGCCTGGGCGCGTCTCCCTGCCTTAGCGCGTCTCCCTGCCTTAGCGCGTCTCCCTGCCTTAGCGCGTCTCCCTGCCTTAGCGCGTCTCCCTGCCTTAGCGCGTATCCCTGCCATAGCGAGTCTCCCTGCCATAGCGTGTCTCCCTGCCTTGGCGCGTCTCCCTGCCTTAGCGCGTCTCCCTGTCTTAGCGCATATCCCTACCTTAGCGCGTATCCCTGCCTTAGCGCGTCTCCCTGCCATAGCGCGTCTCCCTGCCTTAGCGCTGTTCAAATTATATAAGTTATAATTTAATATAGGCTTGGTAGGTTGTTACTGAACCTTTCTGTAGGGGGTACAAACCCCTCCTTGTACTCCTCTCTCTTTCTAATCCAACTCTCTTCTCTCTCGACACTCTCGTCCAGCTCCTAGCTAAACCCCGCCGCCACATTCATGGCGGCCTTGTTCCTGCCTAGTATCCTAGCCTAGAGCTACTTTAACAAGCGCGTCTCCCTGCCTTAGCGAGTCACCCTGCATTTGCGCGTCTCCCTGCTATTGCGCGTCTCCCTGCCTTGGTCACAATGTGGCTACATACGTGCCCGCCTATGCGCGTCTGTCTATTGTGTTACCGCCGCTAAGGTCGCTGATGACGTCCCTGCCCTGGAGGTGCACCCACAGTGCGTTCGAGTTGCGTAAGGTTCGCTTGCTCTAGGGCGACACGATTGTGTGTGCTGTGGGTTGCTCTACTGGTACATTCAGCTGGGTTGAGCAAGCTGCGTGCGAGTGTTTTGTTTTCCCGCCATCTCACTTGTGCAACTTTTACAGTCGCAGCGTAGGTCGCATGCACGTTTCCGGTCAGCTTTTTGACGCGCAAGTCGTTTCGCCACTTTCTGGTTTGATCCTAAATCTGAATCTATGTTTGAGTTCCACAAGCTACAAAGTAGGATGGCATCACTTTCAAGTGGAAATTAATAGCTTGTTTTGAATGCTATTTTAGCCACGGGCTTTAAGGAAAGAGTCTTCCGGATTCTTACGGTAATTATGCTCGGCAGCTCGGGTGTTGTTGTACAACTACAACCGTAAGCAGTACGCCTTACTTTTCCCCTAGCCCTTCCATTCGGTTTTCCAGCCGACTGTCAAACTACTCTACAACCTGCATTATTGATATGCAAAATGTACATCAGTAATCTACAGTAGAAATTCCGAATATTAGATGCCTTGTCCAATGTGACCTCGAATACTCGAGCAACTGTAGAGTTGACCCAAACTGGCTACTGGGGCAGCATGATGAGTGTCTACTTCAACAACACCCTCCTCTCTGAGCGGAAGCATCGTTTCGTCCTCCTGCCCCTTGAGCCCCACCAGTACCATAGCCCACCTTGATACCATATGTCTGCATCAACAGCAAAACGATGGAGTGAGCACACACATGCCAGGGTTGTGCTGTGCCAAAAAAAATAAGGGACCCACCTCATTGGAAACATCAAAAACGCCTTCTTGAATCTTCTGATAAATTTTTGCAGCTGTATTTATAAAAGCCTTTGGAGAAACAGAGGAGGCAACGCACAGAGAAAAACATCAATTGTTTATGCGTTGCAACTCATAACCAGTAAGGCGTTAACGGTAGTTGCTCGTTCAGTGGCGCAAGAGTATTAGCAGAAAACGCGTGAGGGAAACGAAAAATACGCACTGTATTCGCAGAAAACGTGTGAGGGAAAATGGCACAGAGGGATGCAGCAGCAGAATTCACAGCGCGGACGACATAGGAGTGGTAATGTGGGGAGGATGGGGAGGGTGGGGAGGGTGGGGAGGCAGAGGAGAGAAGAAGAGGAACAGGACTTTACCTCCTCGACGTTATGAGCAGTCTTAGCTGAAGTCTCCATGAACACAAGTCCATTCTCCTTCGCGAACTGCTCCCCTTCCTGAGTGCTGACTGCTCGGCGATGGGCCAAATCGCTCTTGTTTCCGATGAGCATGATCGTCATATTGGAGTTCGCATGCTGCCGCGCGTCTTCAAGCCAACTCGTCAAGTGGTTAAAAGTTTCTCTCCTGTGCAACAGAACAAAAAGGGGCTGTGAAACACTCCGCAGAAATCAAGCTATGGCGGCAGCGCAGAAACTAAAACACACTACCTCGTGATATCGTAAACCAGCAGTGCTCCGGCTGCACCGCGGTAGTACGACCTTGTGATGGACCGAAACGACTCTTGCCCAGCCTGAAGACGCAACGAATCAAACGCGTTACGAACCGCGGAAAGGCTTTCCATTATAATAAGAAAACAAGTCACTCACGGTATCCCAGATCTGCAACTTGATTGGCTTCCCTTCAATGGTAATCATGCGTGCGCCAAACTCCACCCCAATTGTCAAGTCATGCACCGGTTGGAACCGTTTGTCTGTGAACTGAAGCAGCAGACATGATTTTCCTACACCTGCCAATACGGGCAGGAAAAGGGAGAGGGGGGAGTGGGTGTGCCGGAGGATGAGGGAGGGGGAGATGGGGGGGGAGGGGAAGGAGGGGAGGGGAGGGGAGTGGGGGAGTGGGGGAGGGGTGAAGAGCGACAAGCGACATCTAAAACCAAATCCTAACGCAAACGAAAAATAATGAATTAGCAATAAGATCAAACGTAGAGGAGATACCTGTGTCTCCAATGATGATGTACTTGAACAAATACGCGTAGGACATCCCGACACAGCTTCGACTCAGTCACTCCAAAGGAAAGCGCAAAAGGTTTTCGCAAGAAAGACTACGTATGCACGACGATGTTCACTAGCTGAAGAATGAAACAGAATTTGAAGTATTCGGACGAAATGTGGAAGTGCTGGGGAAGGTTAGGTTTCGATGGAGGGGATGACAGGGAAGAGCTCGGTTCGGCCTACTGAAAGCCACTGGGTTCCACCGGGGGGAAGTGGAAATGGGGACAGCTTGCTGTGTTAGGGGGTGTTCCGAAGTAAAGCGTAAGGTTTCAGGACATCACAGAAACGAGATTTTATGCTCTTCTACCGTTATTAAAAAAACAAATACAGGTCATATGCAGGGCTTCAGATTGGATTTTGAGGGGCTGTTGGCTCAGGGTGCCCCCAGAAGGAGCCCCCGTTTTTCAGGGTCGGGTTTTGGAAGTTGCAAAAATTTTCAGGGTAATTTTTTTCGAAAGCTGAAAAATCAGGACTGAAATTTTTCATAGCTGAGATGACAAGTTGAACCTTGGCGATTTTTTAGGATGGGTAGGATTTTAACCTAGCACATTACTGTATGTTAGACAGGGCATGTTTTGTCAGACCAAAAGAAAAAATAGCCTTACTCATCAGATACATTTTTTTGGTTTCTGAATCTGATCCTTAGATCAGATTGGACTTCACTGCGTACATACAAATTCTCACACTACTAGCGTGATTGTTGGAAATACCTCAAGGACTTAAGTATTTCTGAAGTGTAACACCACACTCGAGAAAGATCGTAACGGGTACGCGAGTCAACGGAGGTTACACGAGGGGATGGACAAAGAACACGAAAGGACTCGAAGGGTCGCAACTGGAGGTTGCGACTGACCGTTACAACTGCAAGGATGGTAACCGAAGTGACAATCGAGTCGCTGTGCGACTCGATAACCGCTCTTCAACTGTATTCTACAACTGCTTTACTTTCCTGCTTTCTATATATTGCTGTATGCTTGTTCTTTTAATCAATCACTTGTCCTCACATACTAGTACAAGGGTTCAACTTCTCAACTTCCGCTGCACTACTCAAGTCTCCTTTTACAACTGGGACTTAGTCTCTGGAAAGATCCTAAGGGCATTTCTCAGCCCAACATGGTATGAGAGCTGGTCAGAGACCAAACTCCCAGCAACTACGTTCTATCTGCAATCAACACATCAACGACTTCATTGATTACAGGTCATGGACAGCAAGGGCAAGAAAACCTCTACGGGCTCACCCAGCGCCCAAGACAATCAACCTGGCAACTCTGGATTGCACACTTCAGGACTGCAGACCGAGACCGGCGCTGCTCAAGAAACGACAGGAAGAGCACCGGAAATGGTGACCCCATCACCCTCTTCAAGCGTGGACCCGAACCTTATGGAAAGGTTCTTCAGCTTCATGTCGCACTTCGACCAGTAGCAGCAGACAAGGACACCTGCGCATTCAACACAGAGCAACGGAGGAAACATGGGATTAGCGCCGATGAGCCTCGACAACTCATCGTTCGGGCGACACAATCAAGCGCCTACCTTTGCGCCTTATCACTCTTCACCGGGGACGTTCGAGTTCATGCCGCCCCGTGCCCAACCAACAACAGCTGCATCACAACAGACACCAAACGAGATTTTAAGTCTTCAGGCGCAGTTTTCACATGTGATTAAACTGCAGACATCCTCACCGTTCAACGGACACGACTTCTTTACCTGGAGTTTTGAGTTCGAGCTGCTGATGGAGGCTGCGCATCTCTTGGGATACTTCAACGGGTCCCTGCCATTCCCAAGCAACGGCACTGCAAAAGAGCAAGAAATTTTCACGTATCAATCGCTGCTGGCGTACACAGTTCTCCTGCGGAACCTGTCACCACAAGAACAGCAAAGCATCAGAACGTATCGGAGCTATGGAAACTCCGCGGAACTCGCATGGCATCACCTCAAGTGTCTCTATCAAGCAAACGACAGTGTGACACAAAGCAGACTCATGCAGCAGCTGCCAACAATACAGATGAAGACCGGGGAAAATGCGATGCAGTATATGAGTCGATGCCAGACACTCCGCGACCGCCTGCTTCGGTGCGGAGGAACAATCACTGAAGAAAGCTTCGTGACGCTTGTCCTTGCTGGGCTCGGGCCAGAATGGAGAACCACCCGCTCGCTCCTTCGCACCCACGGACGAATCTCGGGTATGCACCTCTGCGCCGAGCTCCATGCTGAACAACAGGAGATGGACCTGTTCGAAGAAAGGCAACCAAGGAAACAGCAACCATTAGTCTTCAACACTCAACGAAGGAACGACAACAACTACAACCGACGCGGCAGGCAAGATCAACGCGACAACAGAGGACTCACCATTGTGCCGCCATTCTGCCACAACTGTCAAACATCCGGACACTCCAAATTCAACTGCACACGTCCCCGAGCTTACCGTCCAGTAGACCCACAAGTCGCTTCCACTCAAGACAGCCCACCGAGACGTTCATCCTCATCCGCACAAGGTACACCGAACATCATCAACTGCATGGTACACATCGACAGCTGTGCCAGACGAAGAAGAACTACCGCCGCCGCGCTCACAAGGACTTCAGGTCAACCCGACATACGCTGCGGTCGCCAACGCCGAACCCACCGGACGAAACACCTGGTTCTTGGACAGCTGCTGCGATCAACACATGTGTTCTTCCGGGCGCTTCGTACAATGAGAGCGACGCCTCAACCGTGATGTCATCATCACCGTCGCCAACAACGAGAACCTGAAAACAAACAGACAAGGAGTGGTTCAGTTACAGTCCATGGAGACAAACGTTATACTGCAGCTCAACAATGTTCTCATCGTCGACAACTTGGGATACAACTTACTCAGCGTCAGCCAATTAATGGCAAAAGGGATTCACCTCGAGTGCGACTCGGACTCCAACGAATTTCGCCTTTACCACGGGAAGGGCGGTCTCTTCATCGGTCGCGCTCTCCTGAAGTCAGGCGTCTTCGTGTTGGATTTCGTCCCCGACCGTGGTACTGCCGACAGCGATGGCATCGTGTCGTTCGCCGTTTGGACGCACCCGCCGGATCTTGACCCCGACCTCACCCCAGAAGGATTCTGGTACTCAAACACCATACCTGCAGCAGAAAGGACACGAGCGTTAGCAGTCATCAGACAAGAAAGACAAGTACCAGCAAGCGTCCTTTCCCAAACATCACCTGCAGTAGCAGCAGCAGGACCCAGCCGAGTACCATCACCAGCCATCCGAGGACTGCCAACCGAAGCAGATCAACTTATGCCCATCACACGAGAAGTCTGCAGAAGTCCCGCCATGGTCGTCGCGTTCTTCTCCAACACCGACATGTACCAATGCTCGCCCGGCCATCGCGCCTCCGACGACATCTGGCACCAACGCCTTGGGCATCCTGCAAACAGCACGGTACTACAAACCATCCAAGCCGAAGTGTTAGAACGAAACGCTCTTCTTACAACAAGCGGCCAAGAACTTCGACGACCTCGCGCACGGTGCTTCACGTGCCCCGAAGCAGATCTTCCCCACCAACCTTTTCCATCACATCACAATCCAAGTGCACCTGCATACGAACCGATGGAAAAAGTTTACAGCGACATCTTAAACATGCCTCGAGACGACACTGAAGCCGACTTCAACTATGTCATCACGTTCATCGATGTAGCAACAAGATATGTCTGGCACTACAACCTCAAGACGCGCGATCAAGCTTTCAAAGCCTTCACGACGTGGCTCCCCATTGCTGAACGAGAATCAGGAACCAAACTCAAGAGCTTCCAGTCAGACGGCGCACTGGAAAACCAGTCACAACGACTCAGGACCTACTTGGCAGAAAGAGGAATCAGACGCCTGGTGTCCCTGCCCTACGCTCACCAGCAGCAGGGGGTCGCAGAGAGAATGAACCGGACCTTGCAGACGACGACGCGGAAGCTGCTCTTGGGGATGAGACTGCCCAACACACTGTGGCCAGACGCGATGACCCATGCAGTCCACCTGCACAATTTGCTATCCTCGTCATCGCTTCCCAACAACGCATCACCGCACCTGCTGTGGACACAAAAAAGGGGCAGCACAAAATTACATCGGGTTTTCGGCTGCATGGTACAGTACCGACCCCACACAGCCCGAGCAGGACGCTTCACTCAACGAGCACGGTGGGGACTACACCTCGGCATCGCAAAACATTTTCAAGCATGGAAAATCCTCGACATACAAAACAAAAATACCGTGGCATCACGTGATGTGATCTTCTACGAACGACTGACGCTGCAGCATTACCTGGACAACGTTGCCAACACAGACGACCCCACCGACGGCTTTTCGGGCCTTCGTTCCTTTGCTGACCGTGCTGCCGAAGCTGACGCAGCCGAAGAAGACGTACCTGGAGCTTCGGAAGCTGCCGGACCACTCCCTTACTGTTCCGTGCCTGTTCCACTCGACGAAGATAGTCCTCTCGATAGCAACAACCTCGACACCCTTTACCACTTCGCTGACCAAGGTTACGTTACACCTCACCCGGTCGACACAAATGTCTCAGAACGCATCGGCCCAAACTTCTTACCTGATCCAGAAGATGGTGACGAAGCAGCCTATTTGGGGAATGAAAATTCCCCTCGACACACACCCACGGGACTGCAGATACTCGGCTTATGGGTCTCCGTCCAGCATCCGCCGCCGCCGTCTCCGCGCGAGCCAACGACCCTGTCGCAGGCTCTGGGGGGGGAACACAAGGCCAAATGGAAAGAAGCAATGGAAAAGGAACTGAAAGCTCTGCAAGACCGAAATACATGGAAGCTGGTACCTGCAACGAACATCAACGGGAAGAACGTTCTCTCAGGAAAGTGGGTGTACCGCATCAAGACCAATGCGGACGGCTCCATCGAACGATTCAAGGCTCGCTGGGTCGTACGAGGATTCGATCAATGATACAGAACTGACTACATAGAAACATTCGCCCCAGTCTCCCGTCACACCTCCTTGCGCATCCTACTCGCCGTCGCGGCCACGAAGAAACTACCACTGCGCCAGATTGACGTCGCAAACGCTTTCCTGTACGCACCTGTGGATGCCGAGATCTTCGTCGAGCAGCCCCACGGATTCATCGCCGACCCCACAAAAGTATGCCAGCTGATAAAATCCCTTCACGGGATCAAGCAAGCCCCGAGGCTTTGGCA